GAGAAAAGGTGGCGGAACTCAAACCTGGCCACGCCCTCATCAAACCCTAGGACCGCCCCTTTAGAGAACAGGAATGCAAGTAAAATTTGGGAGGGGCTATTTCCGGTGTGGGAGGGGCTATTTCCGGTGCGGCCGGCCCGGAAAAAGGTGCCGGAACGCGGTTCCGCCGCGTTCCGGCTGAAAAAAAGCCCTGCTGATGGGGCTTAAAGTTGATTCAGCCTTCTATCCTGCTGAGGTTGGTAAAATAAGGACCCAAATTATTGGGGGCAATGGGCTAACATTTCTAAACTGCCCAGAGAGTGCTATAAAGAACTATGGGTGGTATATAAGTCTAAGTGCTATTGCTATTATCAAAAAGATGATGAGACTTGGAGCTTAAAAATTTTCTGAAGAGAAATTAATTTTAAGTCACAACAAATTCAGATTAATTTATTTCAGTTCCAAATAATATCTGAAGAAACTCAAACTTCATTATAAATTGATGATACTTAAATCTATATATCTTTGGAAATGCCAGCCTTTAAAAAATGAAACCATTTCATTCTCATAGCTTTATCCTAAAACAGGGGTGTCAAACTGCTAGCCCGCGGGCCGGTTGCATTATATGGAGGTTGCGCCCACCCCAGCTCTGGCAAAAAGTCGTGATATGTCGCGACATGTCACGTGACACTGTGAATTTGACAACTGTGTCCTAAAACATAGCCTTATGTTTTAGTCTGTAATCTCCAATGATAATTTATCATGCTAAGTAGAATCATATTGAAGTCACAGAGGACAGGGAATACTATATATACTTAATGTGTTGTAAAACTGGAAGAACAAACACTGGAAACTCTGATACACAAAATAGATCTGTATTGTAATTATATAAATGATTTATCTAAATATTTTTAAAGCAACTTTATTTATCCCTATATTGCTCAAACATCAAATTCCCAACAGTTACTATGGAAGCACAAATACCTTTAAATTTCCACGATCAAGTGCGGCAGTGAGATGCTTCCTGACTTCAATTAATTTTGGTCGGGGTCCACAGGGACTTGCCCCCTGTTTTAGAGGGTATGCTTTCAGAAAAAGTTCTAGCTTGGATTCTCCAAGGAGGAGTTCTGCCATGTCATCTATATATATAGAGAGAGACAAAATTATTATATAGTTAAATAGCTGTTATGTTCTATTAACACTAAGCATTAGCGCTAATGCTAAGCATTAACACTAACACTATGAGATAACACAAAATCCATCAATCATAAAAATGTACTAAGATGACTATCTTTTAAGCAGCCCCACAGTACATCTTCTGGAGTGGGCACTCATCTTTAACATGAAATAAATTTCACTTTCTAATAGAGCCTGAAAGGCCGTGTGTGTGTGTGTGTGTGTGTGTGTGTGTGTGTGTGTGTGTGTGAGAGAGAGAGAGAGAGAGAGAGAGACTTATGATCTAAGAAAATTTATGTTCAGATTTCTGCTAATCGTATAATATGATCTTTACAGGCAGTCTTCACTTAATAACCCTAAGTGGGACCGTAAACTCCTTTATTAGCCAATGAGGTTATTAAGTGAAACATCACATGACTGCGCTGCTTAGCAATAGCAGTTCCAGCAATGGAACTGTTGCTGAACTGAGTTGAGTGACTCCCATGTGATCGTTAGGTGAGGACACTACCCTCTCCTGGAGCCAAGCCATTCTTGGACAAAGAAAAGGGGCTGCCTCTTAACTCCCTCCACTCAACTATCTCCCTCCCACCTCTGCCCTTTTGACTGCCCACTGCTGCCAACTGCCCCTGCCACCAAGCCCTATGCCATGTTTGCTGCTCTACGTATCATTACTGCACTGTCCGGGTGGGGCCTTCTTTAGCGCTGTTGGGACCAGGGCCTTCTCTCTCATACCAGCCAGGCTTTTCTCATGCACCAGCCAGGGCCTCTAGCCATGTGGTGGTTAGGGTCTTTTTTCAAGAAAGAACCCAGCTGGTACATGAAAAAAGGCCTTGGGAGCTCCAGCACAAAAGAAGGACCCCTGCAGCCAGGGCCTTTTTTTTCTCAAAGAAGGCCCTGGCTGGCACACAAATAGAGGTCCTGGCCAGTGTGCAATTTGAGAGGCTGGCTGGTTGAGAGAAGGGCCTGGCTGCACCACTGTGAAAGAAGGTAGAGTGAAAGAATACGCCGGCCAATACAGTAGTGGCATACGGTGTGGCAGGCAGGGTCAATGGCAGCGGCAGCTGGCAGCAGCAGATAAGTAGCAGATTAACAAATTATTTTTTTAATATATGCATAAACATCACACACACAATTTGATTCTTAAATCTGGTAGTAACAGAATAACAGAATTGGAAGGGACCTTGGAGGTCTTCTAGTCCAACCCCCTGCTCCCTCATTCTCATTTTTATTGTGCCCATTACTGCAGTTTGCAATCTTATAGTAAAATCTTTTAATCTCTCTATTGTGAATATATATTGAGTATGGATGTGTATGGATGAGTGAAATAATTAATAGTATTAGCAGCCTTAGTAAGTAAGTATATCATAAGCAGTAAATAGGGGGAGAGATTGCTTTAATGATAAAAATGCTTCGTACATTATTTAATGTGAAAGTACCTTGGTTCATCTATTATACAGCACACAAACAAACTAAGCTATCTGTCTGTAATCACACACGGTTTGGATGCTTTGAGCACCAATTGTCTACATATTTGCTTAATGAAAAGTGCAACAGAAGAAAGATTTATGCTTTTGCTTACTTGCCAGGAATCTGGGACAGCCACATTCAATAACCTCTTGTCTGATTTATGGGTAAACAAGACCTTAAATCCATCCCTTGTTAACAATCTGCATCATAGCCTTAAGACAGTCTTCTGTACAGTTAGTCAAGTGGCATGTATAGTTGCTCATATGTTACTCAAATGAAAGTGCAAGTAGTATTATATGAATTTCTTGGCCCTATCTTTCTCATTCTCTAACACATAAGGAATAGTTACATTTTGAATAATCAAAATATTGAAGCTAGAATTAAGATAATTTCAACCAGCAACTGTGACATTTGGCTTGAGGAGTGAGTTGGACAGCTAGCATTGAAAGTGAGGACAGACCTAGCAATAAATCATACTGATATGTAGAACTCTTGAAACACAAACTAAGTGCTGCAATGCAACTGACTCTAATATTAATCCAACAGCTGCTTCTCCTTTGCAAAACAATTTCAGAAAAGAACTACACAGTTAATGGAGGCAGAAGCAAAAGATACTTGATCCTTTCCCAGCATGCCTGTTTTTCAATTTTAAACATTCACTAAAATTTGTAGACTATTGCTTTCATTTATCATAAAACATAAAGGTTTCCCTATGCAATTCAAAAACACATTACAATACAGTATAATAAATAATTTAAAATGCCATGTATTTTATTCATAAAATACATTCAAAGATAATTCACTTGTATTTTGAATTCCAGGAGGGACTAAAGTGATTTGGAGGAGTTTCAAATGAAAATGGGCTATTGAAAGAAGAGTTAGCATCCCAGCTTGCTCTCTTCTAAACTAAGTATTACAGTACTCCAAAAGCACTCTGCAAAAGAGTGCTTAGGCTATCAATACATGAAGTTGTATTATAAATATTTAACTCAAGCTTTACTTGAAGAGCAGTTTCCAGTTTGAGGCAAAAAAAAATTTCACTTTTATAATATCTTTAACATTTTTTGTAAAAAGTGCTCATATCAAGCATCACAGGTGAATCACACAATGGTTGTAAAAATCAATTTTACTATACACTTCAATCTATATCACAGAAATGCTAAAGGACTTCTAAAAAGAAAATGGAATTCTGTAATATATCATTAGTAGTACACTGAAAAATGGTTATGAGAAATATATTTCACTTTCTTCCAATTCTTTTCAAACCCCGGACTATTTTGTGTCTATTCAAAGCTGAGATTTGATAGGAGGTATTTTCATTAATATTATCTTTGAAAGCATTCTTCTTTTCTACCAATTAGAAAGGCAAATTAAAAAATGTTCTTGTTGTGATCTCTTCCACAAAGTACATTCAAGGTGAAGGTAATTTTTCCTGCCTTGACTTTGAAGTGACTGATCTATGATGCCACGTGATCAGATATTTTGACCACATAGCACCAAGATATAATAATCAACTTTCTTTACAGTCTCTGATAGACTGGGATACTGACACCAAGTTAAAAAAATATCAGAATAGAATGAAAATACAATAGTTATTAATGGGATTAAAATTAAGTAATTTTGACAATATTTCACTATTAATATTTATATTCAATATATAGTAGATGACAAATTTATTTTGAATAATAATAATAATAATAATTTAATTTGTACCCCGCCCTTCTCCTCACCGGACTCAGGGCGGCTAACAGCCTTATAAAACCACAGTACAATAAATATCCATTAAAACCAAATTAAAAGAAAATATTTGAAGCGGCCAATCGTTAAAATTACCCTTAAAAACCCCACTAAAATTCCCTAGGCCAGACCCGCTTGTTGAAAAAGCCATGTCTTTAGGGCGCGGCGGAAGGAGGGGAGATCCGGGATCACCCGGATCTCTGGGGGTAGTTCGTTCCAGAGGGTGGGGGCTCCCACCGAGAAGGCCCTCCCCCTGGGGGTCGCCAGCCGGCACTG